TTCATGGAGCACATTTTTTTTTTCTGAAACTCACTTGGAATCTGGCAAGTTCTATTACCATGCTCAAGGTGATTTAAAACTGCAAAGCTGCTTAGGGAAGGGGAGGGAGGGTCGGTGCAGTGGGAATAAAAGTAGGAAAGAGGAAGAAAACCATGTAGCATAGAAAGTGCAGGGAGGGACTCAGGGCTCATCTTAGATCCTGGTTCTGCTGCTAAAGCTGGGTGACTTTGGGCAAGGCAGTGACCTCACACAAATGATTCTACCACTGACAGACACAGAGGCTGTGAGACACAGGGATGGTGTGTCTGTTGTGAGTGGTCCAAATGGACCCCAGGAACTGGGAACCTGTGTGGATTAGAGGAGGCCAGTTTCAGAATTGTCCCCTACTTCTGTATGAAGTGAGGGAAGAATCTTGCAGAAGGACTGTCTACCTTAGCTGTATCTCAGTTCGGAAGAAGACGTTTTGCAGGTTGCTGTTTCTGAGGGTGTAGCAGGTGCAGGACACGTTGGAGCCATCACTGGTAGAGACAGTTTGGCAAATCCTGCAGCATTCACCCAGAAGCTTGTCTGTTAGCAAACTGTTATACATGCCCAGCATTGGCCCATTCTCTCACCTCTGCTGTCACGGTCAGACCTCAACAGTTCATCGTCTTAAAACAACTGGTTTTTAGCTCCTGAGGCATTTGTGATGAGAAAGGGAGGGTTAAGACTGGGGAGTCCCATTTCTCCCGCCCACCATCTCCCCGTCACCCACACTCCTTTCCTAGCAACGGCTCTTTCTTCAACTTTTGTGGCCCACGTCTTCCGTCCCACCTCCACCAGCAGCAGCAAAATACGGGGGCGAGAAGGCCGGGTAGGGGGGAGCTGAGGTGCAGGCGGAGGAATGGGGGAAGAGTTGCCGGGAGGAGGCTGAGGAGGCACAAAAGGTTCTGACCTCCTTGGAACAAGAGGAAGCCCCCAGGGATTGTGTCCAACCTGCCTTAGTTTGGGAGGTGGCCAAGCAGAGAAGTCCTAGGTTAAGAAGTGCAGGCAGTAAAGTTGACAGGGAGTTAGTGGCTTGGGTGGCAACAGAGCAGCTCAGCTGAAGGAAAACTGTAAATATCGTGGGTGGCTGTGGAAGTCCACCTGCCTGCTCAGAGCACTGCTGGGCACCCTGGACAGGATGGCATGCTGTGAACGAGAAACTTGGGTGCAGGCATATCTGGGGAACAGCAGTCTCTGAATCTCAGAAGCAGTTAGTGTTTCTCAAACTTAACTCATATTAGAATCACCTGGAGAGCTTAGACAACTACTGATGCCAGAGTGATGTAGGCACTGCTTAAGGGGCTGGTGTTGTGGCACAGCATGTTAACATCAGCATACCATGAGCATCAGTTTGAGACCTGGCTGTTCCACTGCCCATCCAGCTCCTTGCTGTTATGCCCGGGGAAAGCAGCCAAAGATGACCTGAGTGCTTAGGTCTCTGCCACCTACAGGGGAGACCAGAATGACGTTCTGGCTCCTGGCTTCAGCCTGATCCAGACTATTTCAGCCATTTGGGGAGTTACCCAGCAGATGGAAGCTCGCTTCACTGTCTTCTCCATGTTTCTGACTCTGCTGTTCAAATAAATAAATCTTTAAAAAAAAAAAAAAAACAAAACACACCATACTGATTAACATGCCTGCATCCTGTAATGGAGCACCAACCAATAAGGGTACCATCTTTTTCAAAGCTCCCAGCGGGGGTGATTTGCATACCAAAGGCTCTTGCTTAAGCCTGAACTATTCATGGAGTCCTCAGAAATTTCATGGGAAATGTGTGGTATGGATTTCAAAACTTTGTGTACCAAAATTAGTTTATCTTATAATTCCATTGTCTGTCAGCTTTTTGAAGTTCCCACATATGCCTTGTACATTTCAGAAAGCTTTCCTCCTTGGCTCCAAGGCAACCCATGGCAAGCCCTTCACACAGGTAGTGGGGGTTTTTATACTGTCCTCCTTCTCAGGATTTAATTTTTTAAAAATCTTGCAGGGCTGCTGTAAAGAGGCACAAGAAGTTAGAACAAATAGCATGTTTGTCTCTTCTCTCTTTCCTGCTCCACATTCACCACAGATGTCTGATTAATGTTTCATTAAAAGCAGAGATTAAGGAAAGTTCTGAAGGGAGGGGGATATTGTTAAGAGACCCCCCCAATCCAGAACTGTGCAAAGGAGGGAGGGGTTGGACCAGAGGAAGTGAGTCGATCTTTGTGATGGTAGTACAGGTGTATGGGCTGAGCTCTTGTGTGTCAACCTCAATGTTCTGGCTCTGCCACTGGAGCCTTTGGCTTCTCTCTCTGGCTGCTGTCCTGCATGAATGCCCAACTGCCAGTCCTTGAATTTCCTGAGCTGTCCACCCTCCTCACCCAGATCTGCCAGCCCTGGTCCATCAGTACACAGACTATAATTTGGAATGTCATATTCATGTATCACAGCTGCTTGAGGTCCAGAATGGGGAGCTGACCCGTCCAGGGTCATTTGATAAGCTGGAGCTCTCACCATGATTTCAGTCCCTTCCTCCACTGAGGTGACAGACATTTTGAGTTGATCTGCCTATGTTGCAATCCCAGCAGGGCCACACATTCCCCTTCTGTCTTGGCCTGGGGTACACTAGAGGCCTGACAAAAGACACAGCAGTGTGGATGCTTGAGAGCAACCACAGACCTCCAACGTGGGTGAGCCATCCTGGCGGCTGTCTAGGACTTCAGTCAGTTTCAAGCTGGCAGAATCCCTTCCAGAAAACATCCTAAGAGGGGAGTGGCCCTTTATTGCCAAGACTCCTCTGCTGTTCTGACAAGTGACTGGCCCCACTCCCAGCTTCCAACCTTGTCCATTCCCATTCTGGCAACTGGCTAGGAACCATCAGAGGGAGAGAAAGCAGCTTTGAGGCCTGTGCTCACAGCAGCTGTTGCCTTTTCCCAATTGGACCCTCCCCAGTTCCAAAGTTACAACAGTGGGCACATCGGTAGTACTCTCAGCTCCCAAGAGATAGGCACCTCGTGCTCCAACGAGGGCTCCCAGGCACTGCTGACCCACACTGAAAGCTGCTTTCTTTCCTGAGGTGCTGACAACTCTGTTCTTGGTTGGGCTGTGAGGAGGAGGCCAAATTCTCTCCTTTGCCAAGTTTCTGGAGTGGTCTTTTTATTCTCAGAGCCTCTCCTGATGGTAACTGGTACTGCCCAAAAGTTTGTTTAGTTAATGAGCTTATATCCTTATACATGGGTGATGTTTACTGGTGTCACCTGGTTAAAAGAATTTGGCCATTACTTATTTGTGTTGTGCTTAATAAATCCAAAGTCAGATTTACTACATGGAGCACTAGCTTTGAGTCAGAAGAGAGTTACAGGTCTAGTCATTGTCAGGTTTATTGTACACATGGGCTAAATCGGAAATGTCACTCTTCTTTTTCCTTGTTTTCATATAAAACCAACTAATAAATTGTGCAAATGAATTCAACATCAGAGAATAAAACCCAATAGCTACTTTCTTTTTGTAGAATAACATAGCTAAGTAAATTTAAGGGTTTCTTTGTGTACTATATCAATACTTTTCATGTTAAAATCATTTTTTTCAGGGGATTGATTTTATAGCCTAGCAGGTAAGCTTCTGCCAGCAATGCTGGCATCCCATATGAGTACCAGTTCATGACCCAGCTATTCCACTTCTCATCCAGCTCCCTTATAATGGCTTGGGAAAAGCAGCAGAAGATGGCTGAGATGTTTAGGTCTCTGTCACCCACTTGGGATACTCAGATGAAGTTCCTGGCTCCTGGCTGTCGCCTGGCCCAATCTTGGTCATCGCAGCCATGTGGGGAGTTAGCCAATAGATGAAAGATCTGTCTTTCCCTCGCTCTAAAACTCTGGCTTTCATATAAATCAATAAATATCTTTAATAGAATCATTTTTAAAGATTTATTTATTTTTATTGGAAAGTCAGATATACAGAGAAGAGGAGAGACAGAAAGCTCTTCCATCTACTGATCCATTCCCCAAGAGGCTGCAATGGCTAGAGCTGGGCTGATCCAAAGTCAGGAGCCAGGAGCTTCTTCCCGGTCTCCCATGCGGGTATAGAGTCCCAAGGCTTTGGGCTGTCCTCAACTGCTTTCTCAGGCCACAAGCAGGGAGCTGGAAGGGAAACAGGGCCACCAGGACACAAACCGGCCTCCATATGGGATCCTGGTGCATGCAAGGTGAGGACTTTAGCTGCTAGGCTACCATGCTGGGCCTTAACAGAATCCTTTTTCAGGCATAAATATGTATGTAATAGTAAGATGGGTCTTAAAAATGAATCTTTTAAAATACAATCAAACACTCATGACTTTTTTATTGATATCAGCACTGGTGCCACTTCTGGGAATCCATAGCAGTGAGTTGCTCATAGATCCCATCCTTAGATGCTCAACATTTTGGCAAAACACAATCATTTCACTTCTGTCATTCTTCCAAGTCTCAGAACTAAGCTACAGTGCTGGGTAAGAATTTGTTAATAATTATTGAGCATCCAGCATTGTAATTTTTCTGTTCCAGAAGTTTATTAGCATTTTAAAGCACTGCCGTTGAAATATCTTTACACCCAGTGATCATTAAAATATAATGAACTAAGTATCATGAGACTTCTTAATGATTGATATTGAACAATAATATTCCCTGTAAGAGCAGACACTAGCCACTGTACAAACTCAGTATAAATTCCTGCAAGGAGAACTGGTTCCCTAATAACCTGAGTCAGGCCATAGATAGGATACTTCATCATTATTCAAGGATACCCTATATGGCCTAGACACATTGCAATTTTCATTGGGTGACAAGATGATGGGGAGCTAAGATAAATACAACCATTCAAGACCACTTAGTTTTGTACTGACTGTTAAGTACTCAGAGTGTTATTTATATTACATGTCCTTTCTCTCTCTCTCTTTCTCTCTCACACACACACACAAAGAAGTCATATCGGATGCAAAATGAAAGAAATAAAGCAAGTCATTTCAATACTTTTTATTTGAGTGTGAAACCATTCATATCTTGCACAACTGTACAGATAAAACTATTTCCATTTTAGCCGTAGACATGATTATCACACGGAGTGGTGTGATCAAAGATTTTATTTACAGAACAATTGCTAAAACATCCGATGTCATATTCCATTTATTTCTTACCCATAGGGTAATAGGTCCACCATAATTGCTTGGTGCATTTTATAATACAGAAAGAAAACCTATGTTAATCGCTAACAAACCTCACAAATTGCTACAAATCTGACAGAAAAATGCCTACGAAAAAATTTTCCAAAAGTACAATACAATTTTTTTTTATTTCCACACATACACAGAATAGTATAGGCTCAAAGGCACAGCTTTGAATTTTTCTTTCTATCAAAGTGTCGGAAATCATAGTTTTATGAAGGAACCATGAAAGTAATTTTCACACTTGCTGCTTTGAAACTTAAATTTGGCCCATCCAATTTCACAAAGTTAACACAGTAGAATGGAGTGTGACACTCAATACCATAAATGCACATACTCACAGAATTTCAAAAAGTCCCTCTCCTGTCTTTTGCTGACACTAACCATTGTGCAAACTTAGGACAACTCCTTGCATGAAGAAGAACTGGTCCCCTACAGACCTCAGTCAACTTAAGGCAATACAGAACAGGCCTCTTCCTTCTCTCGAGCTAGTGCTTACATTCCAAGACAATGCAGGTACTATGACAGACACCCGTTTAACAGGGAATCTAGAGCTTCCAGTCACCTCCCTCCACTTAGCCCTGGTGTTCCAGGAAGTAGTGATGCCACCAACAGGAGGAAGGGAGGTGTAGAACATTGTACAGTAAGATGACAGACAGATGGCGAGGTGAATGCTCTTGGAAAACGGTGTGCCCATCCAAGAACACAAAGCAGACTCCATTTCCAGTATCCATCCTTCAAGACTAAAGAGCTTTTGTCAACAGAAAATAAGTAGCTTACTGGGAGTCGTTGCCAACACAATACAAAGCAAAGTCATGGAATAGAGGGAAAAGGCACAGAATGGCCTGCCCAAGATAGTGCTCTATACAAACAGCCTGGCTTGGCTACAGGAACCCAATCCCACTGACTTTTAGTAAGTCCTGTTTTTGAACTAAAGTTTATTTATCCCATATTGAATCCCATTCTCACATTCATTAGGAAAACGGACACTTAGGGACAGCCCAAGAGTTATGATGTATAGAGATAAAGTCTTCTGGGGGGTGGGTATTGGGTTTATTATTATTATTATTAATTATTATTAATATTAAATAGGGATTTTCCTATAATAGCAGTCATTTAGCCCATCCTGTGGAGGCCTCTCCGTTGATATAAGCAAAGCCAGGAAAGTGTTGCATGTGCTCGTACTCGGAATTCCTACGCGTGGTCAGGGGTGTGTACATGTCATTAGAGTTTCCATACCTTGTGGAATGCACAGACGGACTTGTGTAGCACGTGTTGGCTGTGGGCACTTCGGGCCATCGGGGAGTGACTGGGGTAGGATGCAGTCTGGGAGTACTGCTCATCAAACAAGGCTCCATCCGGGAAGTGGGGCTATTGAAAGGGTACTTGTTAAGGGGAAAGAAATTCCATAAAGTTATAATTAGCTTGGAGTCGCATTTAGACAAATATCAGTCACGTTTATACTTCAATTTCCTAAGATGCCAGGCATGAAAGTTGATAGACAGGAATCAGTGAACTTCAGCAAGACTGAACTTTGGTAAAGAGAAGTCATCAATAAGAGAAATTCAATGGGTTCATAGCCAGAGTTGGGGTAGTGTTCACCCAAGCAGTAATAAGGGCTTTGTGCTCCGAACCTGGACTATTTTTGAGAAGTCAAAACCAAAAGGACTGGCAGCCTTACTGGGAATCCACACTGTGTGTGCATGCGCCTGCTGGTAACAGCGTGTCCAGATAACTATGCAGGGTTACGTGGTTCGGAGTTTTATCATTAGCTACGGAGGTGTGACAGGTCCCGCTCTATTGCTCTATCGACTGAACAGAACAATACTGCCAAGTACAACACAATGACATTGTTAAAAATAGCATTTTACAGCTGAATTCAATGATAAACTGCAGCCTCTAAACAGCCTGTGGAAGAGGAAGCGAGTCAAGAACTTCAGAGATTATTATTAGTGTTTATCATTTAGACAGCATCTTTCTTTTTGATTCACCGTTCACTGACGTCCTGGAAGATGACACTAGTAGAAAATGTAAATTACTGGGCTTGGGATGGATTGAAAGGAAGGAGTCAGGATTAAGCCCATGGGGTGCGAGTCAGGGTTGGGAGAGGACAGAGGAGGCTTTTGTGCAGGTCCCAAGAACAGGTGTTAGTAGATGCAGGAAGAGGTGAAGCAGTTCTGGAAGGGATTAGGAGTAAGAGAAGTGCCTCTGAAGGGCTGCTTCTTCGACATTCTTTACTGTTACCAAAGAGCTATGCAAATAAGGCCCTTTGATGATGATCACAGGGAAGGAAGGGGGGATGGTTTAAGTCCCCTTTGAGAGTCCCCATTTTGCAGAACGGTTAGCACAAAAATGTCATTGCTGTGGTGAGGGGCACCCCAACAAAAACAGAAGCCAATCAACCAAGATGGCCAGGGCAGCGAGGAGGAGACAGGGTGTGTGTGAATGTGTGAATGTGTGAATTCTTGTGCTTCCCATCTGTCTTCCCCGACAGTTGGAGAGTGGAGACCCGAGGGATTAGGTGGGAGGCTGCCTCCTGGGAAGGAGACAGACAGGCTGAAGCCTACACAGTGGAGAGAAGGGGTTCTGACAACAATGGCCACTCGCCGGAGTCCATGTGGCCAGAGGGAACTGCTCTGCCTCTTTTGAGTGGGAGCCCATGGGGAGCAGGGCCAGGATCTGCGGCCTGAAGCATGGGAAGGGGGCTGGCTCTTCCAAAGCCAAGGAAGAGAGACTCCAACTCCCTAGCAGTGAGTGGGTTTCCTCCCGCTAGGACAACATGCCTTACAGAGCACAGCGTAGCTACTTTCTAGCCAAAAGAGCAGTGAGCAAAGCGGCGAGGGCAGAAGTAATGTCTGGGAACTCAAGGGAAAAGGAACCAAGGGCTGTTGCCAAGGTGATTATAGACCTTGTGCCCAATGTTTTCATAACCCCAAAACCAGATCTGAAGCCAGTGTGTGTGCACATGTGCTGTGCATTCAGGGCACCAACTGGATGGCCTCAGGCCTGCATGGTAGCATTCTAGCCCAGGACCCATTCTAAAGCAAAAGAAATTGCCCTGCCTGAAAAAATAAATCCTAAGTGTATTAAGCAGACCACAAAAAGAAATATTATTAGAAAACAGTCTTTTCCTTGCTGCCCTCCTGATGTTCTAAGCGAGCTCCCTGGATGCCTGTCCCCACAGCCCGTGGTGTCCTCCCTAGCATAGAGGTCCCCTTGGGTCCTACCTACTGTGCCTAGAACCCTCCTCTACCCCTCCCTGCCACCTCCTGGCACACCTGCTTTTTTTTTTTTTTTGTCATTCTTCTGATCTTAGCTCAAATGGACATCCTGTCTCAAGAAATAACACTCCACCTTCCATGTCGCAGGCCAGGGGACTTACCATCCTGCTTGGCAGCTGACTCTTGCTGCTGGCAAGGGCCTTACCCCTCAGCATCTGCTGAATCGTGTTTGGGAAGTGAACCTAGAAAGTACATCAACGGTTGTACAAGCTGACCCTATGTTGCAAGTGAGAAAATTAGGACCCAGGAGGTGAAGCATCCTGTCTAAAGTCATAGAGCAAGCTGACACAAGAGCCAACCAAAAGACCCAGTCCTGGTGGGATGTGTATTCCGTCTCTCAAGCTAGGCCAACCTGCCACTATGCAATTACACTGGAGTAAGAGTGCTCCAAAGCCAATCCATGCAGTTTTAATCTCTCTGTTACTCTTCAATAAGCTCCCACTTACCCTACCAAGCAGCCATGGGGTCTCAGAATTCTGAGCTGGCTCCAGCTTGCTGAATCTGCCTTGGCTTGTGTAGGTAAAACGTCACAGGACGGACATGGAATGCTTTCCCTGAAGAACCCGAGAGAGTGTGGCTTTTGTGCCTAGTCAAGGACCCTTGGTGCAGCTGTGCCCAGGGGTTGTGTCATAGACTCAAAAGAGTAATTGCCTGGAAGTGAGATTGGCCCAAAATATCTCCAATGTGACAATAAAATTCTGTTACCCACAGAATCCAGCATGGAAAGTTCTGTCCCGTTAGGTCAGCTAATTGCAAATGAGTCAGTGCCTCGTTTTCCCTGTGGTGAAGAGACCATTGAAAAGCGACATGGCCATAGTGCCGCTGACCCAGCCTGCTGGTGAACACCACCAATGAGGCTTCTATTTAGTCTGGTGGGAGCGACAACCGCCTCACCTTTCACACTTTACATCCGCTGGCACGCAGGGTCCTAAAGCAGGCTGGGCATAAACCCTGGGGTCTGGAGTGGCTTGACTGGAATAAAGGCGCTTTTTGTTGAGGGCCCAGAACAGGAAGTTACCATTCTTTGGGTCAATTCACACCACTGTTGCTACCGATTTTAGAATGGTGCTTGGTCGCCAATGAGAAGGGTGGGCAAGGGGTCCGTGTGTGCATGGTATATATATATGTGTGTGTGTGTATGTGTGTGTATAGGGGGGTTGTCAGCTTCCTTCAATGGCTGCTGTGGCCTAAGTCCATCTCAGCTGTGACTGACTCTTAGCCTATTTGGAGCCGTCCTAGGAAGTTCTATTTTGAGAAACAACTCCCCACACTAAGGCTGACTTTCCTGCCCCAGGAGAGGGAAGAATGAGCGCTTTATCCCTGACCCTTCCAAGCGGGCTGCTACTTGAGAGAGGGGTGAGAGGTGGCCCAGTCAGGAGCACAAACTGTTTTCCTATGAAAGGCGGCTCTCACCGCACCAAAGAGAGGACTGGCAGGCGGGAAGAGAACGTCACTCCCCCGGAATGTTTTTTCAGACCGTCCACATCTGCTGAGCTTGGAGGGCCAGGATTAAGTGAATGTGTGTAGTGAGTTTTCCAAACATGTTAGCTGTTATTCATGTTCTTACTCCACTGAGACTAGGGGGAGCATGGTCTATCGGTGACAGGAAAAGCCTTCATGTCTGGCCATCTGGTCCCACCTCTAGTTTTATAGTGAGGGAATAGAGGTCAAAAAGTAACTTGGTACCAGAGTTGGGATCCATTCATTCATTCATTCATTCACCCCATTGACAAGTATCTACTAATCACACACTCTGGGCGAGGGCCTGGGGCATATATGGATGTAAACAAAGAGCTCGGACAGTGAGACGGACACACAGTGGTGTGTCATTACACAAGATATGATCATACCTATAACTCTGGTATGACAAAAGATAGAAAGAATATATGGAAATAACATGAGAATGGCCCAGGTCCACATTCTAAACTTTTCACTCACTTGACCCTCACAACAACTCTTATCAAATAGGTGGTATAATTATCCCCATTTTTCACATGATAAAGTTAAAACACTGAACTAAATAGAGGCAGAAGTGAGGTCTGTATATAAGAGGCCTGGCTATATCACAGAAGTCTTACAGCATTGTGGCCTTCAATTTTGTTTTTCTCTTTGGCCCACAATCCCATCCAGAAATGGAATACTACAAGTAAGCCCTATGGCCCTGGGCGGGTGTGTGGGCCAGGCTGCTGGCAATTCTGTGATAGGTGATGTTGGCCTGGCAAGGCTGGGCCTTGGCCGTGTAGAGGAGAGCTAAGGGACAGCTTTCTTGTCTACTCTGAGCAGACTAGCCAGAGAGTTCCTGGATGGTCACGTGGCTGTTAAGCTCCAGGTCCCAGGCCACAGTCCTGGCTGCCAACTAGGTAGAGGAGCCATACACACATACACAATGAGGCTCAGAAATATGCTGTGGCTTTTTTGGGTAATCATAGGAATTGGAAGTCTGAGAAAGGGCAGGTGACAATATTCCCTGTACATTTATTCTGATATTTTTAGAAAATAATTCAGACCTTACACTGAACCCTCAGTTTAGCTGACTCCCCGGTTTGGAAGTTAAGAAAATTCATGCAGGTCTGAAACACTTATCTGCTGCCCAAGAAGGCATACGTTGTATAAGCTAACTATGAGGGGACTACGAAGATTCATGAAGAATTCATATTATCTTTTAATACCATTTTCTACAACTTTGTTGAATCTTGCCCATAGTATAAACAAGGACACACAAATTCTATTTCAAAAAAATCACTTAAAGCTATTTTGAGCATATCCATGCTGGTTTGCATAGAATTAATACCCTGGTAGATGCACATGCCAGGTTTTTAGGGCAAACCTAACAGGCATTGGTGTGCACAAGGCAGTCTCAGTTGCTTCTTGGCTGATAACTAATCACCTTGCCTTAGCCAAATCACATAATTGCAATTTTTCTTCAATTGAGATTGACCTTGTCCCCAGTGAGTCTCATATAGTGAAGTGTCACATTCAAGTAGGATTGAAGGAGCTTGACCTCTGCCCCAGAAGGATAAAACTAATTAGCCATGTAGTAGATTTTTCCCCCCAAATACTTGATTTCAAACCAAAGAACCAATAAAGGAAAGATATAAGGAACTTTGGGTATGTGCTGCTACATTTGGGCAACTTGAAATTATATTGAGAATAATAGCAATAATTCTTCAGTTATCTTCCATTCCCCAGAATCCAGCAGTATTGCATTCCACCTGCTTGGGTTGGGGTTGAGAGTTGGACAAAGTTGCATTTGAGTCTGCTTTGTCATTTACTGAATGTTGGTCTACAACACAGAGCCTTCTGAGGACATCTCTTCATCTTTAATGGCTGGAGAGAGTGCCTTCTCCCCAAGGGACTTACGGGAATTCAATGAACCCGTGTGTTTCAGAGGGCCTAAAACAGTACTTGATGCACAAATGTTAATAATTTTTTTGAAAAAAGGTATATTTTGAACATTGAGCTCACTCATTACTGTGCAGAGCTATGAAAGGACAAGCTACTTTACAGGTGGAGACTAAGGTGTGACCATCAAGTATGTGTATAGAAAGTGTGTGTGTGTGTGTGTGTGTGTGTGTGTGTGTGTGTGTGTGTGTTGGGGTAAGAGTGGCAGAGGCCTTGGTTTGAGGGCCGCAGGGAACAGCGAGAGAAAGGCAGGCCAAGAGCCCCTTGGTCTCTTGCACCTCATGTGGATTCCAGGGGTTCTTCCCTGGGCTCTCACTTAGGATATATATATATATATATACACACACACATATATATACATACACACATGTATGTGTGTGTGTATGTGTATATATCTATATGTGTGTGTGTGTTTTGAGAGAGAGAGAGAAGGAACCATCTCATATTAAGACCAGCTATTAAATGATAGTGTTGCAGTTGTGGGTGTTGTGGCTTCCACAGTGGAGGGAACAAACCTATCTTTGATCACCAGAGACTGCCAGGGCCTTGAGGAGATCTTGGCTTCTTTTTGTGGCAATGGCTTTAAAAATATCACCCCAGAAAACCAGCTCCTAAAATTTCCTGAGTTGAGCTGAGGGTGGGAAAAAAGCAGGATGATAATACAGGGGCTGTGGCTTGGTACCGTGCCCCCCCAAGGGGACTCAAGCTCTCCAAAGCACACTCAACTTCTCTCTCCTTCCCCACTCTGTGCCCAGAGGCAGCAGCAGTGCACCCAGCAGCCAATGGAGGAACGACTCGGGGAGTGAATGGACCCACAGCTTGGAGTGCACAGAGTAACCTAACCTATAGCACCAGTTCTAGGTCTCTCAGCAGCTCACAGTGAAGCGACAGACTGTGCTCCCTAAGGAGGCAGTACCTGAGGAGCTGGCATCACTGGGTGACGCAGTTTGAGAACTCTAATGAATGCCCCAGGTGATGATTTAGTGGAATCAACCTCTCAGCTTGTCTGGGGACTTACCCAGAGCTCCCCTTGGGAATGCAGATGGAAATCAAAACAGACGCCTGTTTGCCCCTAGCGCCCATGTGTTGTGGATACATTCTCCTCAGTGCCCTCCCTCGGAGGCACGTGTGCGTGCTAGTGGCTGACGTAACTGCAGCCTCTGCCCTGGCTGTCGGCCTGTCCTCTCTCCTAAAACCCTGAGAGGGCTTTGGAGCAGAGTCCCCTACCTCCACAAATGCCCCTTTCTGGTCCATCCTAGTTGGGAGTGGGGTGGGAAGTTGATCGCTCTCTCTCTTTCTTTCACAACTCTGATCTTACCACTCTCCCTGGCTCAGATACAAATCATGGCTTCCTATGCATGCCAAACAGTGTGCCTGCTGGGCACACCATGCTATGGTTCATGCCAGTGCTGCCTCCCAAGTGCTCGTCTGCTCAACAAACACACAGTGAGTGCCTGCCTTCAAAAGGTGGCTCAGGCTGTTGCCTGTAAGCTTGCATAGGAGTCACGCTACCTGGATTCAACTTGCTTTGAGCAAGTTGCTGTGGTCCTACTTCTTCTGCCAAGGTCATCTAGAGGCCTGATGAGTATCTGTCTTACAACCTGGCGCACAGAAGTGTCTGGAAAGAATGTGATGGTTTCTGTGACCTGAGGATGATAGACTCAATCTTTGCCTTTAAGACTCTCCAAAGGGAGTCAGGCTGGAGAATCTCTGATGATGAACAGAATGTAAGGTGCGAGCAAGAAAGAAAGCCTGGGAATGGTGTCCAGTAAGGCCCCAGAGGAAGAAGGGAGAGTCGGACAGGTGTGGAAGAGACTGGGGAAGACTCTAGCTGGAAGGAATGGCATCTCAAACACATGCACACCTCAGAGCAGGCACAGCACCTGCATGGCTGGGGGCAAAAGAGGGCTTGGAATGTAGCCCATAAAGGTAGGACATCTGAGGAATTGAACTTGACCCTGAAAGCAAAGATAGGGTAAAAAGAGAGGATGTCATGGTCAGTTTTTTTTTTTTTTTTTCAAAAGACTCCACAAATTGCAATATAGAGGATAAGCCAGAAATGGGACAAGTTTTAGGGACCTAGAGAGACCACCAGGAAGGCTCCCTGTCTTTGTCTTGGTCGGAGATGCCGAGGGCCCGAGCTGAGGCTAGGACAGCAGGTGCGTGGCCACATTAAGGGCATGGAAATGAATGGAAGGGGAGACAAGTTCTGTTTGAGGCCAGTGCATAGGAAAGCATGTAAGGAGGAGTTTGCCTGGCCCTGGCCTTCCAGGGCCCATCCCATTTCCCCTCCACACAAGCCACAAGACAGGCAACTAGTGTGTGAGACGGGTGATGTGGGATCCAAGAGTGATGGGATTTCGTAGAGATTGATCTGGTTAAGATTAGGTGTGTGGATGAAGAAGCCAGGCCTGGGCCAATGAGAGACCAGTTGAAGTGATGCCGTTAGTCCTTACAGGTCTCTGTGACAATCTGCAGCATGAGGGTGGTGATGAGAAGGAAGGCCACAGGCCCAGCATACCACAGGCCCAGGTGGTTGACTGATCGAAGGCAGCAGAACACGTGGCTGATGGGATGAGAGCTCACAGAGAGGACAGAACTAAAGAGCACACAGGTGCAAAGAATGTGGACTTTGGATGCAGGCCGAGCACACACCGCAGAGCAGAAATGTCACTGATGGACTGTCCTTTCCTGGGGGTCACACAGGCAACATACACTGTATGCAGAAAGTACTCAATAGTTGTTCTAAGTTGACCAGGCTTGGCCCAGGCATATGGAAGCACTGACTCACCTGTGCAGAGCTCCGATGGTAAGGGGCATAGTGGAGTGGCCCAGAGATGGCTGTGTCATGAGGAAGGGCTGGGTACTGGCTCTGCATTGGGTGAGGATGCTGGTTGCCATAACTCCCGTAGTTGTAGCTTCCCGTGTATCTACAACAGAGAACAAGCCCGTCTGATAACCTTTAAAAATCCAGTTCATCTCTCCCTCCCCCCTCCTTTTGCTGTTTTTCATCTTCTTTTGGTCCCTTGCCCTCTCTACTTTGTGGCCCCGCTGTGCTGAGTTTGAAACCCCAGGCTGACTTCCTTCTCCCTCAGCACACCTGCAGCCTACCTCCCTCACCATCCAGCAAGCACTCAGGGAATGAGGTCTAGCCCTGAGCAAAACATAATTAATGATGGAAACTTCTCTGTGTTGTGTTGTGAAGTCCCAAGTTACATCCTGAAGCCAAAAAAAAAAAAAAAATATTTAGGGATTTATCAATCTCTCTCCTGGACAAAGCACTGTGACTCAGTTGAGCATGCGTGAGACCCGGGTTCCAGGCCAGGCTCCACCACTTTGTAGCAGAGTGCCCTTGTGCTTGCTGCTCATCTGTAAAGATACTGCACATATACACTGACGATCCCACCTAGGGACACACTGCACCGCCCACAGGCCTCTGTCCGCGTGGGCTGTCATCGCAGTCACCCTCAGAACATCTTCACAGCAAAGATGCCCACGAAGGCTTGCCTGAGTGTCTATTTTGTGTTTCATGCAGCCCAAAAACTGAGACACTTTTCTTAGAATCCATTCCAAGTGTATCAGAAAGTCCTCCAGAAGTTCCTTAGAGGAGGTAATGGCTGCTCCCGTGAGCATTCGGGAGCCTGGAACCTACGGGAAAGTATAGCAACATCCTAGGCTGTGCCTCTCTCAGGACCACTGCCTTGCTGCTGGCCACCTGTGTGCAAGGATCCCAAGGGGCCCTCCCCTTGGCTTCTTCCCATGAGGCCCTCTCTTACACACACACATACAACTGCCCACACCTGCCTGGTCTGTTGACAAGTGGCCTGGGAGCCTACTGCCATGTGGTAGCATGTCCTTGTATAACATGGTGTTTTCTCAGATCCCTGCCTATCATTTATCATAAGGTCAGCATCCCAATAAAGACAGTGCTTAGTGGCAAAAAGTCACTAATTCAGGTTGGAGTAGATTTGTGGTCTAATCATCACTGTACAATTATGGGCAAAACAAATGATTGTTTTATCCAGGGTACAAAGTGCCACTGGCACCCTGTGGTAACTTCAGCCCTCACATAGGGAGGCCCACCCCTCCAGAGACACACAAAAGACTGGGCCCTATTATGAAACTGTAGAGGTTGCAAGGGCACCCGAGGGAGCTGCTGACAGGGGCTTTTGGTTGAGGCTCTTATGGAGTGAAGGAAGGACGCAGGCTCTGGGATTGATAGGTGCTCGGGCTGGGTGCTAGCATTTGCCAGTGATGGGGATCTTAGGGACCAAAGTTAATAAACCAAGCCTCATTTTCCTCCTGTGTAAAATGTGACACGAGGCCACTGACAGCTGTCTACCCACCTGCTTGTTAAGGGGATTGCAAGAGAGTTATACACAGAAGGGTGCCAGGTGCTTCTCCTGTGAGAAGTCAGCAAGAATACTTGCTGTTCTCAGTAAAAACAGCTGTGAAGCAGATGCCCCCTCCCCCTTTTCCATCCAATGTAGCAGTCAGGGAACCATCCCAGGAACAGTCACCTACCCGTGCTCCTCCCTGTGGGGGTAGACCGGTATCCGGTGGGTGACCGAGGATGGGGGCATGTGTGTGCTCCTCATGCAGGGCAGCTGTTGGGAGTTGTCCGCTGGGGAGCCAGCAGCCGTTGTCACCGTGTATGTTAGAGACCACGTGTAGGACTGCATCGCTCCTGCAGAAACAAGTTGAGATGCATGGGTTCTTAACAGTTCAACACGTTCACAGTTTCCCATGACTCTTAGCTGCAGGCTGGAGTCTTCGCAAAGCACGTGTCCCTGCCCTTTGGTGATCTCACCCGAAGTGTCCCTGCCGTTGTTCTGAGTTCTGTTTTTCTCTAGAGTGCCGGAATCCCCAGCACCACAGGGCCTTCCGCTGTGCGCACGCTATCTCTGCTGCCTGGAATCCTCACTCTTCGTGTAGCACGACTCGCTCATTTCTTTGCCCTCATCTCAGCATGGGTCAGCACCCTCGCTGCACTGGGCGCCTTCATGATGCTACTGCTATTTCGAATCCTGTCTCCTTGGGGGAACATGATGTGGTTAAGGCCTGTGCCACCACGGGAAAAGGGGCCTTGTGGCTTCTGTTCACCATCACAACCCTGGTGCTCAGTATGGAGCTGGGTGACCAGGAGGCATTCAATAACATTTTCAAAAAGAAGAAAGAGGAAGCGGAAAGAAGGGAGAGAGGAATGGAGGGAGAGTGGGAGGAGGGATAAAGGCAGGCAGCGGCAGTGTCGCCCCAGCAGGCACTGCAAATTAACTTTTCAACACTCAACTCAACAGGTGTTAAGGATCCAACAAATTGCTTTAAGCAATTTAAGCAGATTATTGGGCTCTGCCTGCCCAGCGCTTTTTGAAGATTATGAGACAGTGACCTGGATGGTGACCTAGCCCATACATATTATTAATTCCATTTATTTCCTTTTAATTGGATACCTTGAACTACTTGAGTTTGGTGGGAGGAAAAACTTGACAAGATTAAAAGCCCTCAAGATGCTTAAAATTTTGTGAAATGACTAGGTTTTTAAAAGGTAATTTAAGACATTGCTACTCATCAGACAACTTCTGATAAAATTTTTTTTAAAAAAGATGTTAACATCATGAAAATAATCAAATCCAATTTGGAAGACAAGAGGATCCAGGATTCAACGGCCCCTTTGAGGCATATGGAAAGCTAAGGACTGGTTAGGGGGAAGCCATTTCCAACGTGCGGTAGAGGAGGAAACTTGCACCTTCAAGTCTCTTACTTTTCTGCAGCAGACCATTTCTATCTTCAAATCCCACCCGCCCCATCCCGTGGACTTGGCACGTGGCGCGGGAGAGTAGCCGGACTGGTGTGGAGCAGCAGGAGGATCAGAAACTCCACGAATACCGAGTAGCCTTCAAGGAATGTGGCCATGGAATCCTGTTTGAAATACGTTGGTTTATTATTAAAAGAACCCTGTGGTGAGCCCTTTGTGTATTGGAGAATCTTTTGGAATGTAGATAATGTCCTTTTGAAAACGAAGTGACAAAACGTCATTCTAAGAGCCTGAAAGGGGGACGCCATTTACTGAGCATCTAATACATGCCAGGCGTTATATGTGAAACACGATCCCCACTTCACAGAGGAGGAAAACTGAGAGCTTACCTCACAAAAACTTAAGGGAAGATCCAAGAAGAGAACATCAAAGCAGGAATGAGAGAGAACGCAACTGGAGGCAAAAAGTGCAATCAGGAATGAGCAAGTGTGTGTGCTGCCCCGGGCCAAGTGCCTCCTAGAGGTGAGCCCTGAACTTGGCTCCGAGCGTTCTAGGGTCTAGTACTGAGGGGAAACCTGACCAGGGAGGAGTGTAAACTAGTCCGCAATCTGTTCAGGAATGTGCTGTCACTGGGACTCTGATCCAACAGGTGTCACCAAGAGGCCAGGTGAATGAACTGTGCAGCACTGGTCTCAACAGTTCCCTCACAGCGGACTTGGTCTGGAGTCCTGCTGTTAGGACTGTGGTTCTTTATGTCAACATCTACTGCAGGCTACTCACATCACAAAGAAGCCCAGTTCCATGGCGGCACTGAGTGTTAAATAGTTTGCCCATGTCCCAGGTTGAGCGGGCTGGTGGCCCAGCAGGACTCTAGTGTCCCTTTCCTTTGGGTACCGAGCCTGCAATTTGCGGTCTGGGCAAACCTTCCAAACTTTCTGAGCATGGTCTTATCACCTGTGACGCAGGACTGATGCCGTGATGTCTGCCTTTAGGACCATTGTGCAGGTTAACTGAGACATTACAGGACAAAGAGTCTGGTCCTGACCCTCAGATCGCTGTTAGGATCCAGGTTATTTTCATAGGAGACCTTTCTAAAGTAAGAATTTCTACATTTCCCATTTTAGATCCTAAAAAAGAAAGGGCAAGTTTTCCAGGTCTGATTCTATTACCAGGAATGAAAACCTGCGAATAGCAATAGTGATTTCAGCAATTACAGTAACCTTCTAGACATGCTTCTCTCCAACATCTCTAATGTTCTTACTCAGCAGTGTGACTGCAAGTACCCCTTCCTGCCTTGCATGTTTTCCCTGGGTGACTGGATCAGGCATGACTGCCATCCTTTTTTAAAACTTTATTGTTAGGATGTAAAAAAGAAATATTATTCTTTTTAATGCACATTATCTCAAGGTAGTGGCATTGAGAATTTTTTTTTAAATTTGCTCTTCATTTTGTTTATCTATTTTTCTGTAATGAACTACGTATGGTTTCTGTAAAAAAAAAAACCACTAATAAAATGGACTGTACAAATTTTGCAATAGGAAATTGAATGGGAGAAGTTTGGGAGAACAATGAGCCAGCCACAACAAACAAGGCATTAACCCTTTGAGTCCCATGCCCTTGGGGGGGCACTGTGAGGTCTGCAGAATTGAAAGGGGCGGGGGCAGCCAAGGAAGCTGGAGGACTTTTCTTCTTTCCAAGCCGTAGGGAGACCCCCTGATAACACCCATCACCTGTGAGAATGCAGCAGTTCCCCTCACAGGAGCCCCGGGAGCCCTGCAACTGTTCCTTATTCATCTCTGTGTCCCCAGCAGAGGCCCTGCCAAGTAGTAGGTGTTCAGTAAATTTTTGTTCCATTGAATCTGTTGTTGAAGGAGTCATTGCTGCTGGAAATAGACGTTATCAAACAAAAGCGAGTGGAACTCGAGGCAAAATGAGCTCCCTGTGGTCCTGGGAACAAAACCTCTAAATGGACATGTGCCAGCAAGCTAAGGCAGCCACTCAGGCAGGCTTAAGCAGATTAACACCTAGCGGCCTGGGTGAGAAACCCTGCTTGCCTGGGGTGCAGCAAAGAACCATCCTTGGCATTTCTTTTCCTCCCGGTGGGACCTCCAGTGAGAACTGCTGCCACTGTCCCTCCTTTTCTAAGGGAACTAATAGCAAACAAACAACAACACCAACAAAACCTGTGTGGCTTCCAGATAGCGTTGAATTTTTTGGAATGCCTGTCCTGATGCTTTTTAGTGATTGGCAAAACAATAACACATCTTCCCTGTGTTCCTAATGAATGCCTACATTTTTCTCATTCTCAGTCCCTCTCCTCTCGTTCTCACCTCCAGGTTTTTATAGAACTTGAAAATAGTGCTGGAAACCTCTGGTTTTGAGACTGCTATGGAGATCCCAAAAAGGACAGGGTTGGTGACCTGCTATTCAAACTGCTGGGGGGAGGGTTGCATTTTTCCCTTCCCATCCCACACAAAATATTCTTCCTTGAGCTTTTCATTTTGATTTGTTTTGGAAGGGGTTTTGAACAGGATAAGATGGGTGCTTGCACGATAATAATTCGTGGTGATATGCTGAATACGTAATGGCTATCCAATGTAAACCAGATCTCATGCTAATTTCTTTTCCTACATCAACTCATTCAGTCTTCACAACAACTGTTTGAGGTGGGTAGTATAGCTTTCTTTTACAGACAAGAAAATTGAGACCCAAGTTGAAATTTAAGCATAGATCCTGCCCAACTCCGGAGACTTTTCAAACTATTGCTTCCCATAATGCCATGTGCATTTCATTCCTGGGAATCTTACTAAAAATATTCAGAGAGGCACACATTTGTCACAGTGGTTAAGTCCACACTTGGGATGCTTGAATACCATATCAGAATGTTTGAGTCCCAGCTCTATTGCTTCTGACCCAGCTTCCTGTTAATATGCGCCCTAAGACACAGCATGATGGCTCAAGGGCTTTGGTTCTGGCCACCTAAATTGGAAGACTTGGAGTTCCGACTCCTGACTTCAGCCTGTCTAGACCTGGCTATTGGGGGCTTAAACCAGCAAACAGACGATCTCTCTAGCTCTGTCTCATTCTGTTACTCTTTCAAATAAAAAATATATATAACAAACTATATATTTGATATATACTTTCTATATTATATAATTTATATATAGCTATGTAGTTAATATATTTTTATGTTAGTTGTATATTGTATATAATTTAAAGTATATATTTAAAGTTATATTTATAGTTTAATATATATTAAGTATATATTAATATATTAATATTAATGTAGTATATATTAATAGAGTATATAGTATACTATATAGTATTATATAGTATATGATAGTATATATTAATTTTAATATATATATACTAATATATATATTTAAAGTAGATTCTGATTCAGAAGGTTAGGAGTGTGACATTTCTAACAAGCTTTGTTTTTTTTCAAATTTTTTTTGTTAATTTTTACTGGAAAGATTTTCCAGAGTTTCCCCAAGTGGCCATAATGGTCAGAGCTGAGCTGGTCCAAAGCCATGAGTCAGGAGCTTCTTCCAGGTCTCCCACAAGGGTACAGGGTCCAAGGCTTTGGCTCATCCTCTGCTGCTTTCCCAGATCATAAGTAGGGAGCTGGATAGGAAGTGGAGCAGCCAGGATATGAACCGGCACTCCTATGGGATCCCAGTGCGTGAAAGTGAGGATTTAGCCACTAGGCTATCATGCCAGGCCCTCTAATAAGTTTCCAAATGATAATCGTGTTGGCCTGTGAACTATAGTTTAGGCAGCAAAGCTTTAGGGCACACTACTTCTTGTCCCATATCCTGGGTCTCCTGCATGTCACGGCCAATTAAAAGCCAGAAGTTAGGATGTGCGATTCTGTTACATAGCCTGCTTCCTGGTTATATACACCCTTTCCTTCAGATCTTGAATGACAC